GAAAATTGATTAATAAAATAAGGTGCATACTTTTAGGCTATTTTTCTTTGTTCATCATTAATATCGGGTTGTTCAATTCCTACTGAAACTTCCTTTCATACCCTTCCTAATTTTAAGCACTACATCACTTGTGTATTGTGGTTTTTTCCTTTTTTGGACTGGTAATGAATACTTGGCCGAATATTTAAAGACTCTATTTTAGGGAAATGATTTAAATAATTGATAACCCAACCAGAACAAATTAAAAACACGAACTATAAGAGATTTTCATGATGTGGTTAGTTAAAGCATTTTAGCAAATAAAATGAGAAGTATTAAATTAACCTCAGAGTGGAAGGAATTATTTTTTTTTTTTATACGAAAAACGATCGAAAAATTCGTAATAACGAATTTTTTTTCAGGAACCTCAGGACGACTTCAAAAAGAAATTCACAAAGACGACGAAGCGAGAATTTTTAAGGATAATTTGTTCCATAGTAAAAATATCAGATATCTGAGGAATTTGTTTAAAGAAAAAATTCTAGGTTCCTCAGTGGGACTTACTTCCACAGAACAATTCTCAGTAACTGATAGGAGTACCTACTATAGAAAAAATTCCCAAAAAAGGTGTTTTTTGTTCATAGAAAAATCCTCAGGAAGACTTCTTTGGAAATAAATTCCTAAGGACGGTGGAATGTTTTCTGTATTAAATAAATAAAAAGTCCTTGAGACTAAATAGAAGACTTTTTTATAGAAACAATCAGTAAAATTTTTTCTACAGGAAAACTTTTAAGACTGCTAAGGAAGTTCTTTTTCATAGAAAACCAGTAAGGAAAGTAGTAAAGTCGGACGGGGCCGACTATATGATACCCTTCACCACTTTGAGTATATTCAACAGATGAATCCTAACAGAAGTCGAATTTTTAAAGGACCAGTAAAATGAAATTGGAACCATAAACACGTCATTCTGCAACCGATACTAAATTCATTTGGTCAGATATAGAAACTATATCTAAATCTGAACCGATTTCAGGAAACTTAACACACATCATTCTAGACCTAATTTGTTACGCTGTGCCAAATTTCGTGCAAATCGAAAGATATATAGGGACTTTGGTGCACCATTTACACTAAATCTGACGAAAGTATATGTGGGAGCTATATATAAATCTGAACCGATTTTCAGGCAACTTTACACACATCATTCTAGACCTAATTTGCTACGCTGTGCCAAATTTCGTGCTTAAATCGACCAGAAAAAAGAATTTGGTTCAAGAACCTCAAAACCTGGGGGCTACCAGAAAAAATTGACCAATATTTATAATTTATAGTGGAGAGATGTGCTACCTAATAAGAACTCGACGTACTAAATTACAGTCAATTTGGTCGAAAAATCCGATCAGAACCCCCAAAATACCAAAAATTTTGGAGTACCGTTATATGGGTACTACCAGAAAAACTGGACCTATATTTATAATTTTTAGTGGAGTAATTTGGCACCCAATAAGAACCCAATGTACAAAATTTCAGCGAATTCAGTTATAAAACGAGCCCAAAAACCCGAAAATACCGAAAATTGGGGGTGCCCTTATATGGGGGTTTTCCGAAAAAATGGACCTTTATTTACAATATTTGGTAGGGAGATTTGCTACCCAATAAGAACACAAAGTACCAAATTTCAGTGAATTCGGTCGAAAAATGCGATCAGAACCCCCAAAATACCGAAAATTGGGGGTAATCTTATATGAGGGCTATCCGAAAAACTTGACCTTTATTTATAATTTTTGGTAGGGAGATTTGCTACCCAATAAGAACTCAATGTACAAAATTTCAGCGAATTCAGTTAAAAAACGCGCTCAAGAACCTCAAAATACCGAAAATTTGGGGGTACCCTTATATGGGTGCTATGCGAAAAAATGGACCGTTATTTATAATTTTTGGTAGGGAGATTTGCTACCCAATAAGAACACAAAGTACCAAATTTCAGCGAATGCGGTCGGAAAATGCGATCAAAACCCCCAAAATACCGAAAATTGGGGGTAATCTTATATGGGGGCTATCCGAAAAAATGGACCTTTATTTATAATTTTTGGTAGAGAGATTTGCTACCCAATAAGAACTCAAAGTACAAAATTTCAGCTCAGAAAGTGATTCTATGCATATTCTCAAAAGGAACCATGGGTCTATCTCGATTATTTTTGCCTGTTACAAACATATGCACAAAGACATAATACCCTGTACCACAGTGTGATGAAGGGTATAAATATTAGGTCCCTCAATAGGATTAATTTTTCGAGAACAATTTTCAATAACAGAGAAGAGTACCTGACGCTCGGAAGCTCGTAAGAAATTTCTTCCGTATTTTTTTTTTCATCAAGAAAACTTTTTTCTGTTGAAATAAATTCTTTAGTACGACAGAGGAAGTTGCTCGGGTCCCTCAGTATATTTTAATAGAAAACAATCTCCTCAGGCAACTATAGATACTTATTTCTATAGAAAAATTCTGAGTAAAGGAGGAGGTAACCTTCTTTGGATAAATAGGTCCACAAAAAGATTTTTTTTCTCTTCAAAATAATTTCCCAGGCTATTAAGGGAGATATAGAAAAAAAACATCATCGGGACGCTCGTAAGAAAATTCGTCCGGATTTTTTTATCATGGAAAAATTCTCAGGTTCAGGTTCACTTTTTCATATAGAAAACAATTATCATGATCTTGGGATGACTTTTTTTATGGAAATATATTCCCTGGCCTAAAGACGCCTTTTTTGGTAGAAAAATATTCTCGGCACCTTAGCGGAAGATTCATATCAATAGAATAGAACATAAGGGTCAGTGGACTTTGTGGCTCGTTTATTAAACAATCAATGGAATAGAAATTGCTATCAGTTCAACCGAGTTGGTATTCTTCTCATAGAAGAAAAAAACGGACAAGACCTTTGGTCAGCTCGGATCGGATTATTTTTGTATATAAAATAATTATAAGAAAAACAATCGAGTTCATCTGAGGTTGTTATTTTTTTTCTATAGAAAAAAAGTCCTCAGTTCACCAGGAGTCGTTTTTTTTTATTCAAAATAAAACCTCAGTTCACATGAGGCCTTTTTTCTATAGAGAAAACAAATCAGGAAAACCTCAGTTCATTTGAGGTGGGTATTTTTTTCCTATAGAAAAAAATCGTTGAGACCTCAGTTCCTATGAAATCGGTATTTTTTCTACAGAAAAAAATCGGCGAGACCTCAGTTGACCTGAAGATGGATTTTTTTCTCTATGGACCAAAATTCGTTAGACCTCAGATCAGATCAGTCAGATCTTTTCCTATGGAAAAAATTTCGCTAGACCTCCGCTCACCTACGGTCGGTAGTTTTTCCTATAAAAAAAATCCCTAGGGAGAAATATTTCGAAGTGCAAAGTTTGCGCAAAATCGGATACTTTCTTCAAGAGTTATGGTGCGCATCAGCGAGCAGGGCAGATAAGAAAAATCCCATGACCACTTAAGAAGAGCTTTATCAGGGGTTAGGTACCAGAGGGGGCGAACCAATATAACCATTCTTCGAACTTGATTTAGCACTTGAGTTCAAAACTCTAATTAGCCATAAGGTCGAGGGTATATAAATAAAAACTTATTTTCTTCGTCAAAAAAACCTTCGCCAAAACCTTGAAATAAAAAAGTCCGTAAACTTGACTGAACATGTCCTTTAGTCATAGATGTATACTCAAAAGAGAGGATGTGTTTTTATTAAAAAAAAAATTACGGTCTCTTTTTGCCTCAGGACATTGAGAAAGAATTTTCTTTCTCGAACATTTTCTCAAACTCCTTATGAAGAATTTTAGGAGGATTTTTCTTATAAAAAAATTCGACAGATCACCCGAGGAATACCTTTTTCTTTCGAAAAAAAATCCTCAAGAACTGAGGTTTATATTTCGGAAGCTTCGCTAGCCTGAGGTTTGTATTTGTTTCCTATAGAAAAAGAAAATCGATAGACCTCAGCTCACCTGAAATCGTATTATTGGGATATTTTCCTCAAGTTCTATAGGAAAAGAGCCCGAGTAAGACTTTTGACATGAGGTACAGACCTCTTTACAGGAGAGGTATAAAAGTTCAACCGAGGAATACTTTTTTCTCAAAAAAATCCTGAGGTTTATTTTTTTCAGAAACAAATTCTTTATCAGCTGGCAAAACTGTTTTCTATAGAAAAACATATACCCATATTCTGTCGATCGAAATATTATCTTAACTTTTAAGGGTGATTCTAAGTCTGCATGATTTTCTCCCCCAGATATTGAAAATGACTATTTTCCTACAGAGGTCTTGAGGTAGTAGTCGAGGATTTATTAGAAAAAAATTGTAGCCTACTTTTAGGCCTTAGTTATTATATTTGCTATTTTCGTTGCATACATTTAGGATGGGGTTTGAAAATATTTTGTTTATAAAATGTGTTGCCTACTTTTAGGCGCATTTACATTTTGTGGAATTTGTGTGGCATATTTTTAGGGGCTGTTTTAATGGAATTAATAAAAATTGTCTTTAATTGTGTAAATTATTTTTCTCTCTTTACTTCCAGCAAACATACAATTTTTTTTTGTAAAACAAAATCATCATGAGAAAAAATTAATCACAATTTAATTGGCTTTACAAAAAAATAATATTTTTAAGTAATCAAAAAAAAATTAAATCTAGTTTAAAATAATTCTACAGAAAACAAAGAAAGTAGTTGAAAAGTTTTTTTATTGGGAATAGTATTTAAAAAAAAATAAATCAAAAAACCAAAATCAAACTGGAAAAAAAAAAACTTAAAACTACAAATCTACGTTTTAGGGGAAAACCAAAACGCTTCTTTATAGGATTAAATAAATTTAAAAAAAAACAACAACAAAACTTTACCACTTAGTCAAAAAATCGTAATCAAAAAAAATTCTCATCCTCTGAATTTTCATCAGAAACTTCGGCAGCATCATCGTCTTCATCTCATCATAATTGATTGGTAGTTGGTGTTTTTTTCTTTGGCGTGTTTTCCAAAATATTATGGATGGCAAGTTAAGGCGGGAAAAACACAGAGCGGAACCACTACAACCAACTACTGAAATTTTGAAAACCATATCACCATCCTCTTCCACTTCGGAAAAATCAACGAAAAAACGCCATCGTCTTCGAAGATCCACAGATAATTTTGATTCCGATGATGCGGAATTAATAACTACCCGCTCCGAAGTACAATTATCTGCCAAGGGCTCCAAACCCATTGCAGGCGTAATGGGTGGAGGTTTTGTGACACCTCCAACAGCTGCCAAAGATATCGATATCGAAAACGCTGTGACCACAGTAGCGTTAATAACGAATCAAAACGACAACGAAACCACGAAGAGCCGTCAACAACCCCCCTCCGGAGAAAATATCACCCATAAACAAATGCACGAAAAGCTCTTGGAAAACGACGGGTGTGACAAGACACCCCCTACCCCGTCGAGTAAAGGGGAAAAGGTAAAACATAAACCCCATAAAGAATCTAAATTTGCCGAAAAGTTAAGGCGTAGTTTTCGCAGGGCCGAACATAAGTCGCTGGAAATAAAACGCCAAGATAAAATCGATGCCACGGAACGAGGTGGAGCAGGAGGAGGTCTAAGACCTTTGCATCAACAGTTACAAAATTCGGCATCGATTTTTTCCCTAACCAATCTTCCAGGTCTTGGGGGTCATATCAATCCTGCCCTGCTACTCGATAGTCCTGACGAAAGTACACCACCCGAATTTGCCTATCGCCATTTGAGTAGTGTGGCCACCACGAATTCCAGTACCTCGCTGGAATCGAATTTTTGTGAGAGCCCTACCACCAGCATTAGCTATTGGGCCTGGCATATGAACAACAACAACAGTATGGGTGGAGAAGTGAGCACAAATTCTAACCCCAACTCAAATCAGGGTAACAATCGGAATCTCACAGCACCCTCACAGCAAGAGGTGGCGGCTGGGGGAACAGGGTCGCGAAATAGGCGCTTGGAACAGCAGAGTAGCAGTAAAAGTGATCAGGGTGGCGGCGGAGGAGGGACTTCCGACCATCCCAATGTCACCGCTGATAGTCGCAGCTGCAGCACAGCCAGTGAAAGCAGTACTGCAGCCAAGCTAACCCGCCTACAGAATTTCCTTTTCAAGTCCAGCAATGAAAGTTCCCGCAGCATTCAGGGTCACTCGAATGAAGGCTTTACCATCTCCTCCTTTAATTCGTCTTCGGGAGAATGGGAGAATCTCTGCAACTTTCCCTCAACAAGTCAGAATCTCAATCACCCTGAGGATGCAACACAATTTCCCCTCTCGCAAGAGGAAGAAACAGTTCCGCACCAGAAACACAAAGAAAACCTCTCGGATTCCAATGGCTCCCTTCGCAACTACTACCAATATACCCTGGCCTCGCCGAGCAATCCATTCCTACCCGAAATCACCGCACGCACCTATCACAGTACCTACGAGGAGGAAGAAGAAGAGCGGGATCTCGAAGAGGAACTCGATTCAAATGTGACCTCGGTAAAATATCGCATAGGTTGTCATTCGGCCCAGCTACCCACCCCGAACTATAGTCGTACAGGGTCACAAGAATCCACCCACAGTGAATATGCAGGGGGAGCCTACGGCGGTGTCCCCAGTGGTCTGGCCTCTTCCACTCGCTATGACAGTTCCAATTCCTCGCTGGGCGGCACCTCTACCCCTGGCAAACACAAACGGAAACTTTTTAGCCTCTCAACACCCACGAAGCTGGATTTCCCTCACACCACACCGATCAGCAGCAGTAGCAGTCAGGCCTCTCATCAATCGATAGCTTCGAAAAATCCTTCCTCTTCATCTTCCTCGTGTAATCTAGTACGTAGCCTTAATCCTTTTTTGCCTTCCACAACGGTGACCTCATCATCGCCGCCACAGCGAACCGCCTCTTCGAGCAGTCTTAATAAACAACAACGTATGGGACCATTTAAACAACAGGCTGTTACCTCTCCGATTGCCATACCACCGGCGAGTGGTGGTGGTGGTGGCAACATCATGGGTATGACTCAAATGTCAGGATCTGGATCGGGACCGTTGCGAGATTTAAATGCCCGGCGTGAGGAATTTTTAAAGGCCACAATGCAGATATGTTTGGTGGTGTCACCACCCTCATCGAGATTGCAGGTAATTAGAAAAAATATTTATACAAAAAAATATTTTTTGTTGTTGTAATTTTATTTTTTATTGTTTTTGTAATTTTTTATAATTTATTTTTCAATAAAAAAATATTTTTTAAAAAAATATATAATTTTGTGTTTTTTATTTCTTTTTATTTTCTATTTTAAATGATCTCCTCAGTACCCTGGAGTATAATGAATGAATGTCCCACAATTATTACTCATACCACACCCTGAACCTGAATTATTATTAGTTATACGAGCCATGGACCCCAAGAAAAATTTTTATTAAAAAAGAGTCTCAGGAGGCCTGAATTTAAAAAAAAAATCGAAAGGCCTTCACAAGGCGTGTATTTTTAAAAGCATATTTTTAGGGTTTTATAAGAGGCGTGGATTTTTTAAAAGCATATTTTTAAAGTTTTATAAAAGGCGTGGATTTTTTAAAGAATATTTTTAGGGACTTACACAAGGCGTGGATTTTTAAAAGCATATTTTTAGGGTTTTATAAAAGGCGTGAATTTTTGAAAAGCATATTTTTAGGATTTTATAAAAGGCGTGGATTTTTTAAAAGCATATTTTTAGGGTTTTATAAAAGGCGTGGATTTTTGAAAAGCATATTTTTAGGGTTTTATAAAAGGCGTGGATTTTTTAAAAGCATATTTTTAGGGTTTTATAAAAGGCGTGGATTTTTTAAAAGCATATTTTTAGGGTTTTATAAGAGGCGTGGATTTTTTAAAAGCATATTTTTAGGGTTTTATAAGAGGCGTGGATTTTTTAAAAGCATATTTTTAGGGTTTTATAAGAGGCGTGGATTTTTTAAAAGCATATTTTTAGGGTTTTATAAAAGGCGTGGATTTTTTAAAAGCAGATTTTTAGGGTTTTATAAAAGGCGTGGATTTTTTAAAGAATATTTTTAAGGTTTTATAAAAGGCGTGGATTTTTTAAAAGCATATTTTTAGGGTTTTATAAAAGGCGTGGATTTTTTAAACGCATATTTTTAGGGTTTTATAAAAGGCGTGGATTTTTTTAAAAACATATTTTTAGGGTTTTAAAAAAGGCGTGGATTTTTTAAAAGCATATTTTTAGGGTTTTATAAAAGGCGTGGATTTTTTTAAAAACATATTTTTAGGGTTTTAAAAAAGGCGTGGATTTTTTAAAAGCATATTTTTAGGGTTTTATAAAAGGCGTGGATTTTTTAAAAAAATATTTTTAAATTCGCCTTTTTATTTTAAATAAATTACCCATCGACCTTAGACGTATACGGAATATTCTATAATTATTGCTCATGCAGCACCATGAACGTGAATTATTATGAATTATACGCATCGTGGTTCCAGTAGGACTATTTTGAACTAAATAACAATTTTTAAAACAAAATTTCAGCGACAAGGATATTTCTAAGGATCTATAGAAGCGGGATTATTTATAATAGTATTTTGCAGAGACCCACGTTCTTACAATATATTTTTTCCAGAGTCCTTTATGTTTGCCCCCGCATTTCTTCCATGTCCTCATAGAACTTTATGTACCTTCGCCCTCCCCACCCCGCACAGTCAATTGCATTTTATGTTCGAAACGAACTGCTATCAGTGGCATTTCAAGTTGAATGGCTTTACAATTTTTTAATGTCCTTCTCAGCTAAAAAATAAATAACAAAAAAACTCTTATGGCAAAGTGCTTGACATAACGACATTTAGTTAAATGACACACACACACAAACACACCGAGACCCCGAAATCACAACAGTCAGAAACGGACAATGTAACAAAACATGTTTAAGTGTGGTATAAAAATTGTTTAAGCGGAAACGGAAACTGTTACGGCAAATACTGTTCGTATGATGGTGATGTCAGCATTGCGGAAAAGAAAACTAGGAGGAAAAAAAATTATGACAGACCGACTGGCAGAATGAAGGAGTATTGTTGCAACACACAAGAGAAATTAAGGAGAAGAAGAAGAGGAAGACATGACAAAATGTTAGAAAAAATGGAAATATAAACGATACATATTGCTGAGGTTTGGAAAAAATGTTTCTTTAAATCAGCGGCTCATTATTGACCTTGGAAAAATATTTTTAAAAAATCCTGGCTGTGGTGTGATCTACACTTGTTTTTTTTTTCTCTGAAGAATACTTTTTTTAAAAATCCATGCCTTGTGCGAACCTTAGAAAACAATTTAAAATCCATGCCTTGTGTTGGCTTGGATTTTTTTTAAGAAATCCAGGACTTGTGTGGGTCCTGGAAAAATAATTTTACAAATCCTGGTCTATGAATATTTTTAAGAATTCTACGCGTTTTGGCAATCAAAAAACTATTTTTTACAAAAATGTACGTCTTCTGTTGGGTCCTGATATCTAAAAAGGCAACACAATAAAGATAACACCCCTGCGTATAAGTATTGTCGTTCGTCATACGCCCCGAAGCACCATTAAACTTAATTCTTAAATAAAACGGCAATAATCATTGTTTCTGATTCCGTTTTTCTGTAAATACATAAGCCAACATAAAAATCCACTCACATTTCCTCTTTGCTTTTCAATATCCCCCCTCCCTTGTGGTCCCAGTTTTTTATCCTCAACCGAAATTTCATTAGCATAAATTATGCTGGGATTTTGTTTTTTGTTGGCATTTTTCACTCCATTTTGACTTTGGACTCAACACTGAATTCATTAACTGTTTTCCGGTTTTGTTCGGTGGTAATTTATACCTTATGCCGTACAGAGCAGGTAGGTGGTGGAAAGTTGGTTGACCTCTCACCCCTCCCACATTATTTGTTCCCCCCCAAAAAAAGGTGAAATATAAAAATCCTACCTTTCATTTGCCACAACGGAAACGTTTGTGGTCACACAAATGAATTCTCCATTAAAGGCAACACGGGGGACCCGGACTCTGACGACAACAACGAAGTACTTAAAAATTTGTTACATACAAAAAACAATAATACATTTGCATAAATAATTAATAGAACCAAAAGCAGGGAATAAAAGTGTGGAAAAGCTGAATTCAATTCGCAGGATGTTTTAAGCGAAAAATGGACCCCAAACCTTCTGCCCGCTGGAAAAGTTTTTTTTAACACAGATTTATCCGAAAGGCTTAAAGGGTCATTAGCAGTTCATTTGTTGTTAATAAAATGTTTTTGGGGGTTTTTATTTTTTGTTATTGCCTTTTTCTGGTTTTTTGGTATAACCTCTAATGATATTTGAAATACAATATGTTTATTGGAAAAGTTTTACTTCGACAAAAACCGATTAGCAGGATAATGAAATAGAGAACTTAATTAATTTATTTTTTTTAATGGAAAATGAAATGATAATTTATTGGGCCACAAAACAAGTGGTTATTGAAAGTAATAAGGAAAGCAGTAAAGTCGGACTGGGCCGACTATATAATACCCTTCATCACTTTGGCTATATTGTACATATGTATCCTTACAATTGTACGTCAATGTTCCCTCGAAGGAACCTACTCATGTCTTTCTGCAACCTATGATAAATTTAATTTCATTCGGGCAGAATTAAAGTCATCTGTGTACCATGGGACACATTTATGGAAAACGATTAATAGTAAAATTGATATTCCCGAATAGCGAACTATTAAAAATGTAATCTTTATCAGATACCCGTTCGAAATACATATGGAAGCTATGGCGGCATCTGCACCAATTTCAAAAACTTACAACACATCATTCTAGACTCAATACAGTACGCTATGCCAAACTTCGTGTACATCGAAGTATATAAAGGGACTTTGGTGTACCATTTACATAAAATCGGACGTAAATATATATGGGAGCTATATCTAAATCTGAACCGATTTTTACGAAATTTAACACACATCATTCTAGACTCAATTCAGTACGCTATGCCAAATTTCGTGCAAATCGAAAGATATATAGGGACTTTGGTGCCCCATTTACATAAAATCGGACGTAAATATATATGGGAGCTATATCTAATTCTGAACCGATTTTCTCGAAACTTAGCACACATCATTCTGGACCTAATTCTGTACTCTATGCCAAATTTCGTGCAAATCGAAAAATGTATAGGGACTTTGGTGCTCCATTTACCTTAAATCGGACGAAACTATATATGGGAGCTATATATAAATCTGAACCGATTTTTTCGAAACTTAACACACATCATTCTGGACCTAATTCAGTACTCTAAGCCAAATTTCGTTCAAATCAAAAGGTATATAGGAACTTGGGTGCCTCATTTATCTTAAATCGGACGAAAATATATATGGGGGCTATATCTAAAATATATATGGGAGCTATATATAAATTTGAACCGATTTTCTCGAAACTTAGCACACATCACTCTAGACTTAATTCCGTACGCTGTGCCAAATTTCATGCAAATCGAATGATATATAGGGAATTTGGTGCACCATTTAACTTAAATCGAACGAAATTATATATGGGAGATATATCTCAATCTAAACCGATTTTCACGAAACTTAGCACACATCATTCTAGACTCAATTCAGTACTCTTAGCCAAATTTCGTGCAAATCGAAAGATATATAGGGACTTTGGTGCACCATTTACCTTAAATAGGACGAAAATATTTATGGAAGCTAAATCTGAACCGATTTTCTTAAATTTCAATAGGGTTCGTCTTTGGGCCAAATAAATGTACTTTGTTTATAATTTGTTTACAATTTAACATCTACAGACGGACTGATGGACATGCATAAATCGACTCAGAAAGTGATTGTATGCATATTTTCAAAAGGAACCATGTGTCTATCTCGTTTCCTTTTGCCTGTTACAAACATATGCACAAAGACATAATACCCTGCACCACAATGCGGTGAAGGGTATAAAAATATATTTTTTGATTCTTTAAATAATGTTTTTTGACAAAAACACAAGGCGCGGATTTTTTAAAAAATGTTTGACAAATACTCAATGCCTGGATGTTAAATAAATAATTTCAATATTGGTGCGTATGATGTATGACAAAAGGTATACGCACCAAAGTCCATGTCCATATTTAAGAAC